TTGTGCGGGGAGAAGGGTGCAACAATGAATGAATGGAATTCCAAAATCTCTGTAGATGTTCATTGAAATGAAAAATAAACAACCTAAATTTAAAAAAAAAATTCATTATCACAGAAAATATTATATGATCCCCCTAAAGTGAAATGTCTAGTGTATAGAGACAGAAAGTAGGTAGGAGATAACCAGGATCTGGAAAGATGGGACAAGTCATAATGGGTATAGAGAGTCTGTTCGGAGTGATAAAAAGTTTTGTAAATAAGTATTCTATTTTAGGGCATTATTTTTATCATAGGAGTATGCAATGAGGGTTGCAGAGTGGATTATATTTGGGGGTAGAGGGTGGGGTTTGGGGACGTGCGGGGGGGATTGTGTACCAATGAGGGAGTTTTTCTTTTGCTTTTCAAGGAGAGGAGCAAAGGGGGGGAGGGGTTTGTGTGGGGAGAAAGGTGCAACAATGAATGAATGGAATTCCAAAATCTCTGTACATGTTCATTGAAATGAAAAATGAACAACCTAAATTAGAAAGAAAAAAAAAGTTTTGTAAATAAATAGCCTTAGTGGCTGTAGATTGCGATTCTAACTAACACCAGTGAATTGTGCACTTTATGTTGATTAAAATAGCAGATCTTATTATGTACATTTTATCACAGGGGGAAAAAATCATGATTTCCACAAAAGGCAAAATTTAACAGATAAATTTTTAAAATATGTACAATTTTAATGAATATTCCTTGCTCATAATTATGCTCATTTCCCACCTAGAGTCAATATTTGATAAAATTTTAATTAACTACTTAAATATGTAAGCCAATATTTTCTAATATTCCATTTAGCAAATTTAGCTGTAAGAAATTATTCTGTACAGAAAGAGAGCAATTAGTCTCAACAATTTGGTGATGGAGGGGAAAGTAATATGTGAGGCACATTTATTAGGGTCCCACTGGTTCTGAATTTGTATTCACTCACTCGGACCTGTCATTTACCTTTACACTCTTGGGTGGGTAAAGCTACTTTTCAGTAAAAATAGTTTTGTTAGGGGTTTGTGTTAATTATTATAACTGCTTGGAAGCATATTACTTAAGCTCTGATCTAGACTTAGGTTCTGAATTTTGCTCTTATATTTGTGTGATCTTGAACCCACTTCAATTTTTTTTATCCTTAAGGTGGGATCCTATATAAAGGAACCTTTAGGGGCAAAATTGTTAAGTGCCTAACTGAAAATTAAAAGATCAGTTGTCCAAACCCATCCAGTGTGTATTTATTACATGCACACACACATATATGTTGTTGTTACGTGCTGTCGAGTCACCTGAAACTCACAGCGACCCTACATAAAACAGCCCTAAACCCTGCTCTATCCTGTCTACCCCCTTTACCTCAGTCACTGAATCAATCCATCTCATCCAGGGTCTTCCTTTCTTACACTCCCAAGCATATAATGTCCCTCTGTGAGTACTGGTCCCTCCTTACAGCATGCGCACAGTATGGTCAGACAAAGCTTCAGAATCCAAGGAGCAGCCTGGTTTTACCCTCTCTCAGATGAACCTGATTGTTGTCCTAGCAATCCATGGTATATTCAATACTCTTCTCCAGCACCACAGCTCAAAGGCATCAATTCTCCTTCTATC